AAACTACTTTTATTTTTGTGTACGTACATTAAATTTTCATAAATGTATTGAGAGGCCAAAGTTAATATATTAATTTCCTTAAATTTTTGTCGCAGCGACTCTTTAGGCTTTAAATCATAAATTGCTCTTATGGCCCTCTTCTGCAAAACAAATATAATTTCTGTGTCAGCTGCGTGTCCCCATAGCAAAATACCATACGACATTATGCTATGGAAGTAGCTGAAGTAAACTAGTCTAGCTGTTTCAACACTGGTTAGACTTCTAATCTTTTTTACAGCATATGCTGCAGAACTAAGTCTGCTTGCTAGTTTTGATATATGGGGGCTCCATTGAAGCTTCGCGTCTAGTGTGATTCCAAGAAAAATGGTGGTATCTACAAGACTCAGTTTCTCCCCATTTAAAATTACATTAGTATTTAATTGTTTGACATTTGGAGTCACGAATTTCATACATTTTGTTTTAGTGCCATTTAAATGCAAATTATTAACATCGAACCAATTTACTAATTTAGATATAGCATTATTTACTTCGTCATATTTTAGTAACTGTCGACTTAATTTGAAAATTAAAGAAGTGTCATCTGCAAATAATACTATATCATGGCTATCCCCTACTATGTAAGGTAAGTCATTAATGTATACAAGAAACAGAAAGGGGCCGAGAATTGAGCCTTGAGGCACGCCCATTTGTACCATCGATCCGGAAGAGCTCATATTGTTAATGACAACTTTTTGCGTTCTCTTACTTAAATATGAAATAATTAATTTAAGGGCATCACTTCTTACACCGTAGTGTTGAAGTTTCCTGATTAATGTTTCATGGTGAACACAATCGAAGGCCTTGGATAGGTCACAAAATATACCCAAAGCATCCTGTGAATTCTCCCATGCATTAAAGATATATTTAATCAGCTCAACACCGGCATCAGTTGTCGAGCGACCCCTTGTGAAACCAAATTGATTTTTATGAAGTAAATTATTTATATTAAAAAAATTTAACATTTGATCAAGAACAATTTTTTCAAAAATCTTACTAAGTGTTGGTAGTACAGAAATAGGTCTAAAATTGGCGGGGTCTAATGTACTACCAGATTTAAATAAAGGTATTACTTTACTATGCTTCATTAAATCAGGAAACACACCAGATTCGATACTAGTATTAAAAATAATAGCTAAATGAGGCGCGATTGTATCTATTATAGACGCAATAACTTTAACGGAAATCCCCCACAGATCCGCAGTTTTCTTAACATCCATAGTTTTAAAATATTTTACAATATCTTTTGATGTCACTTTATGAAATGTAAAATTCTTTGTACACACATTTACATTATGTTTAAGTAATGATTCGGCGACGGCAGGAGAAGAATTTAGTGACTTAGTGGTCAAGATCGGAATATCAGTAAAATATTTCTCAAAAACCATTGCTACGTCCTGATCTGATACAGTTAATTTGTTGTTAACACTTAACTGGTAATTTGAATTGCGAGAGTTGAATTTACCAGTTTCGCTATTAATTATACTCCATGTCATTTTAATTTTATTGGAAGCCGTCTTAATTTTGTTGCTCAAATGCAAAGACTTGGCTATGGAGCACACTCTTTTAAATATTTTTGAATATTTTTTTACATATTCCCTAAATTCGACGCTATGATTATATGACCTTTCATGGTAAAGATCATATAACCTATGCCTGCTCTTATGGACTCCTACTGTCGCCCATTCATTGAATGACTTCCGACTGTTCAAGGAGAATGTTTTAGAAGTAAAAGTATTATTAAATTCATTGCAAATAAGCTTAAATAATGTTCCATACAAAAAATTAGGATCATTTTGGTATGAAAGTGATGGAAGTTTTTTCACTATGTTACTTCTAAATTTCTCCAAGCGACGTGCATTTACTGGAACAGACACAACTTTCTCATCTACTTGCTTTTTGTGAACATAAGGTAACGAAACTACTTGTCCACAGTGATCAGAACTTAATTTTTGAATTATACATTTATGCAACGGCTTCACATTTGTAAAAATGTTATCTATACATGTTGCACTAGATTGAGAAATACGCGTTGGCTCTATAAATAAATTAAAAAGACCATATGATTTAAACAATGATCTAAATTTAATATTGATGGAGGAAGCTTCTAGGAGATTGATATTAAAATCTCCACATATTACAACAGATTTATTCTGTTTATTAAGCTTAGCAAAAACTTCCTCCATAATGTTTTCAAAAGTATCATATGTACAACATGGGGGTCTGTAGACGCTCACAACAATGAGGTGCTCAAACTCAACACATGCCATTTCTACAGTTCGCTCAACAGAGAGGCTCACAATGTCTTTACGTTCTTTACATGATAATAATTTACTAGCTAATATTAAGGAGCCACCTCTTAAAACCGTATCTCTATTGAAAGAACTGACCACCTGGTGATTACTGAAGTTAAACATTAAATTATAAGATTTTAACCAATGTTCAGTAATACATAAGATATGAATATTGTTGCTATTTAAGAACAACTCAATTTCTAGCTCTTTGCCTATCATGCCTTGTATATTTTGATGCACCAGGTGTAAACAATTTTCATTATCTTTCTGTGGAGTCATACAATTAAAGATTTGTAAGCCACATTCTAAATTATTTAAGTTATTATAACTGCTAGAGATTACCTCTATTGTCTCATTTTCTAATTTAAATTACTTGGAACTGATTCCAAATTGCATGTTAAGTCATTACACTGCTCAAAAGAAGCAGATGTCTGTGTAGCCAAGTCCTTGGCTGAGTTAATATATAAATAATAAGATAGCACATTTGCTATCTGTCTTAAATTATATTTTGATAGGTAATACCTATCTCTAGTCAAAAATTTCTTAATTAAATTATTTATATCTATTAAATTAATTCTATCATTATAATTGTAACAATTAAATGTCAAGTTTAAATTATTATTACATGAAAAGTTATTCATTAATAAATTTAAATCATATCTTATTTTATTTTCCTGCGGCCAACCCTGTATGTAAGGCAATGTAAACAAGATAATTTTATGTACATTTAAAGTATTTAGATTATCAATATATTTTAATAATTGATTTTTGTTTACATTGCCTCTTCTCCCAACAAGAATAATTAATGTGCTATTAGGACAAAATTTACTAGCTAAAACTTTATTCATTATATGACTAAAGGATGCTCCAGGCATGCAATAATTAGTGATCATATGTCCTTTTAAACAGTTATTTAACATCATGCCCAAATTTTTGCCTATGTCATCACAATACATAATAACTTTATTTTTTTTAATATTTACATTACTTTTTAAGTTTATATCCTTTGTCATAGCACTGTCATAGAGTGTAGATGAAAATAATGAGGTCTTACTGTTAACTTTGTTATTTACACATATTGTCCCCGATGAACCTGGTATGGAGCGCTGATACTCACTCTGATTTTTTATTAAGGAGTCAAAGCGCTCCTCATTATATTTACATGATTTTACCAGATCATTCATGGCCAATATGTGTTCTTTTATCTCATCTTGAGCCGATGCATATTTATTTGATACAATTTCTAGAGAGCTTTTAAGTGATAAAATTGTTGAATGTAGACACTCTATATCAGTCTCATAACAGTGATTCATATTTTCCACCTCAATTGAATATATTTTAAGTTTATTAATTAGTTCTTGCTTTTCTTTGCATACATTTATATAATTTTTAACATTAATTTTAGTTTTAATTAATTTTTGTAGTTTTCTAATATATTTATTAATTTTTATATATTTCTTTAATTTTCTTCTACTGCAGGTAGTTCTTGCTGCTGTTCTTGACATGACATAATCATCACCAGTCAAATCGATTGTTGTGGAGGGTTGCAATGCTTTAGATTTAGTAGATTCACACTCTATGAGCTCGTTGAACAGACTTTGAGTTTGGGACGCTTTCATGTTATCTATGTAATGTTTTAATAAAACAATCTGCTCATTAGCCTTAGTAGAGAACCGGAGACCCTTTTTACTAGAAAGGAGGCATTTTTAGGCCTTTTTACTGGAACAGGGGCATTCTATCTTAGTCCTCACGGCTGACAACGCATCTGCATTTTATTTCGCAAACGATGATAGATGTAGATGTCTATGGGCCACAGCAACCACTTACCATCAGGTGGACTGTGTGCTCGTTTGTCACTCTTATTTTATATAAAAAAAGAGCTCAGTAGCGCACCTTGTGAGAGGCCTATGTTCACCAGTGGACTGCCGCGACGATGATGATGATAAAAAAGTTAAATCCGACTTCAAAGTAATAAAAAGAATTAAAAAAAAATCACATTTTGAAATCGGTGAGTTATTGTATAGAAGAATTACTATTACTGATGCTACTATAATCTGCTTAATTATGCAAGATCTCGACGTAAACCAAATTATACTTATTTCTGAGATATGCAGGTTTTCTCACGAGATTTTCCTTACTCGCCCGAGTCCAATATTTTAAGTGCTGATTTATTGCACCTAAATTTTATTTATACCGGCGGGGATCGAAGTCTGCTCACTTAGGATGAAATTATCGGCACGCACTTAGCTCATGAGCTACTACGGATGGCTGTACCTAACTTTCACCAATGTACGAGTATATAACTCGTAACTTAAAATAACTCCTTACGCATCTAACTAAATAATGATGTTCATTGTTGGACCTTTATATTGTAATACGTTTAAGAAAATCTATATAATGAATATAAGAACATACACTTCTCATCTAAAATGTGATTTCCACGAATTTTCCGTCGGGCTTGTGATGATTCATCGTGAGCCATCTGATCAAGTGGAGCGAGTGGGGTCGTTTACGTCTACAGTCTGTGCTGAGACGCGTATGCGTTCGCGCGTAATTCGTATTTCGAACACTCGAACTGGCCGAACATCAAATCGCGAATTCTTTTTTTAAGTATACGAAAACATTTTCTTCGTTTGATTTTTTAGTGACAATTTTTGAAGGCTTTGTAAAATGGCTTCATACTCTTGGTTAATTGTGTGTGCGGTTTTGATAACTGTAAAATTAGTTTTTGGAAATGACTGCTCGAGTCTCATGAAATTGGAATCTTGCGACGAGTGCATCAGATGCGGTGGTCAATGGTGTAATGATCCTGATGCTGTAAGTATTCAAGCTCAAGTGTGATTTTAACCTACTTAGGACAAAATTAAAGATATGTCGAGAGTAGAAAATTTTATACAAAAAGGGAAGGAAAACTGCCTTACTTTGTGTAACTCTATTTACATATTAATTTTAAATTTTGAAATATTATTTTAACGCCGATTTAAAATAAATTATATAATTATTTAGTAATTAACTGTTTAACATACTATGCTGTAATTAACTAAAATGATAATTGATACTTTGTCTATTATAATTTATTTTTTATTAAAATCATATTTAATTTAATATTAAATGAGAAGCTTAGTTATATTAAAAATAATTTAACGATTTCGATCATTTTAAATAATATTCCAAAATTAAATTTTGTTCATAATTTAAAATGATTAAAATCAAAATAAATATCAATTACCCTTATAAGTAATATAGTGTTCACGTGTTTCAATAAAATTCGAATATGCAACCAATTAAAAATTGTTTTACGGTTAAATTTTTAAAAGCAAAATAATGAACGAATACAGCGATTGAACAAAAATAAAAGAAAACGTAAAGAATGTCATCAAAGAAAAAAGAAGAGACTGAACCACGAACGGAAGGAAACAATTGAGCCAATGAATTTGATAAACGCTGCTCAAGTGTGGAGCCGATCTATTTTTGATACTGTCGTGATCATCCCCAGACTAATAAATTTATAACATATTTCATCCAATAAAACCAATATACTAATATTTTTTCAGGAAGGAAGCAATATTCAAGTCACATCTTCTTATTGTGGCCCTCCTGAAGGCATAACATTAAATTTAATAGCCTTATCTTAAAATTACAACCATATCTCCTACTCGCCAATTTACATATAATCGTCAAATTATCTTAACTCTAATGGTAGCGCTCACCGCAAATTCAAATTATTAAAAAATGTAGATAATTATTGTATCACTTAAGGCCTACTCCCATTCTTTGTCATTAACTATTTACTAAGTTGGTCAAAAATATCTCTCTAATTTCACAACGTCAAATTTATAGACCCAATTTTGTCGTTGAGATAAAACAAACAGATATCTAATATTCACAAAGGGTTGGCTGTTATAGGATGCCACAAGAAATTAATCGCGCGTATTGTAATGAGTGTATAGATTTCAAATACAAAAGTAAAGTCACAACCTTTATATATCCAATATTGGCTTGCTTTTATTAAATTTCTAAGAAGTTAAGGAACAATTTGCATTAGAGCAAATCTACTTATCCTCTTTTCCTTGCTATAATAGAAGGGGTCAATAATCGACTTTTTTTATAGAATAAGGATGACAAAGGCTTCTACATATATCCTTAATTGAGAATGAAAAGTTGTCACCTCTGATGACCAAGATGGAATACCTCATTTCCAGTAAAAAGTGTTTACCGGTTCTCTACACCCACCACACGAAACATAGAAGCATTAAGCTCTATTTTACACTGGTATTCTGTGAGAGCGTGGTCCTTCCCCATCTAGTGCTACAAATATAATATAGCTGCGGAGTGGCTCTACACCGTGTAGACTTACGGGCCGAGGAGTAACAAGAAATTTGATAATTTAGTATCTAGTAATAGTATATTATCTATTCTAATATATTATCTATTCTAATTTAAAGGATCAAATTTTAACTTATAGTTTATACGTAGGTAATGGGTATACGTAGGCAAATGAGTAAATAATTTATGTGTCGACTGTATATTAAGTAATGGTTGTGGACAATGACATTACAGAAGATACCTTTTATTTTTACAATGATCATCCTTATGTAACCAATGACTGTAGAGAACTTATAAAAAAATATAAATCATAATGAGTTCATTAATGAACATAACGTCCAGGATGTGATAGTTAATTTAATAGGAAACGCTGAACTACTTAATAACGGAACCGAAAAAAAAATACATATCTGTCTTTTCTTTCAAAACTTTTTAAAAAACAGGATCTCAATGACGCATATGGAAATAGAACAAACTTATTATACAGCTCCAGTTCAATTTTGCACAATTCCACATAATAACAATATACTAGTAGGTATCAAAAGTCCACTCTCTAATATATTGCCTCAAATATCCCTAGATATTTACCAAACCGATATTTGCCATAGCCGCAACGCTCGGCAGCAGGGTTAGCCACCGTAGTTTTTTTTTTAATTTGTGTTATCATCAGAAAGGTGTTGCTGCTTGTCTCCTATTTTATTTCCCTCTATGACCTTTAACGACATCTGCAGGTTGATATTGGATAATGAATTTACTTCCGCCACCACTACCCAAAGTCCTTAAAATTAGTTAATTTCTTGGACGTTTAAATATATCGTAGTTATTAAGATCATGTTTTTTAGAAGTAAATGGTATTATCGTCAATATTATCACTAGCCCATCAATACGCCACGGCTAGAGGGTTTATTTACAATTGCCAACAGTTTGGTGCACGCCATTAAAACTGTAGCGCAGTTTAAAAGCAACGGGAGCTCCTTCACGGAGCTGATAAATCCTAATTTACCGAAAACTGTTCGGGAATAAATAAGGTGGCACCATCTGTCGGGGGACATAAGATCTTTTTCCCTTGCTCTCTTTCCACTCTCACAAGAAGATTGAAGATGGAATGATTTCGTCGCAAATATACGCTACATTCCTTTTATAGAATAAGATTCACAAACGAGCGCACAGTCCACCTGATGGTAAGTGGATGCTGTGGCCCATAGGCATCTACGTCTATCCTTGATTAAGAATCGAAATACAGATGCATTGTCACTCACACCTGAGAACTAAGATGAAATGCCTCGTTTCCAGTAAAAAGGGTATCCGGTTCTCTACACTCACCATATGAAACAGCAGCTTTTAGCTCAAGCCGACTGATTATACATATAAAAACTTTTAACCTTACGTTTAATAAACAACAAAATGAATTAATTTCCCTGGTGCTCTATTGTACTTTCATGACCTCCAACAATTAGTCATGATTAATCCTCTACTAATACGTAGCGGTACAACTTTACGGTATCACCTACTCGCACAAACCCATTCATGTCGTAGATACACACTTACACTCACACTCACATAGGCTATGACTCGCTGAGGCAACAAATTGCCTTGGCGATAACAGTGTTAAAATTTTTACACATTTCAACTATGCTACAATTAGGATGTAGTGTATGGAAACGTCTTAACCATCAGTAACGACCAATGTGAATTAAACTGCTTTCTTTTCACCGTACATCACCGAGTACAATACAGATAGTGTGGGCGTTCAAGTCTCTGAGAAGCACATCGTAGTGTGCAAGCACCAACTTATTTTGGGGTTTCGATTTATTGCATTCTGATTCGATTATGACACTTATTTCCAAGAATTGTATACGTGGTAGAGCCATGCTGCAGCTATATTAGTAGTATAGTTGTAGCACGAATGGGTTGGCTCGACCGTGGAAGGACCATGCTCTCACAGAAAACCAGCGTAAAATAGCAGCTTAACGCTGCTGTGTTTTGTATGGTGAGTGTAGAGAACCGGAGACCCTTTTTACTGGCAAAGAGGCATTCCATCTTAGTCCTCACGGGTGACAACTTGAGTCTTTATTGATGATAGATGTAGATGTCTATGGGTCACAGTAACCACTTACCATCAGGTGGACTGTGTGCTCGTTTGTCACCCTATCCTATTAAAAAAAATACGGTATTACGTAATGCTGTTATTTTACACTGGCTTTCCGTATACAATTCTTGAAAATAATGTGTTTCGTATAGTGAGTGACGAAAACCGTGGATTTTTTTTTGGTCTTATCTTTTAGTTGGATTTAGTGCTCATTTGTCACCTATACTTTTTTTTAATGAAATAGAAAAATTTTTCTTTCTTTTTTTGGAGTTAACTGCAAATGCTCATGGACTTCGTGAGCTTGTTATCAATAAATTAACCGTAAAGCCATTTACATTAACTGTTATATAAATAAAAAAGTACTATATATCGCAAAGATTACAGTTTTTGTTAGAAAAATATTTTTTTTTATAAGATAAGGGTGACAAACGAGCACACAGTCCACCTGATGGTAAGTGGTTGCTGCGGCCCATAGACATCTACATATATCCTCGTTTGCGAATCAAAATGCAGATGCGTTGCCACCCGTGAGGACTAAGATGGAATGCCTCATTTCCAGTAAAAAGGGCCTCCGACCACCTGCACTCCCAAGCGAAACGCAGAGGTAAACATCTACTTCACGCTGGTATTCTGTGAGGTCGTGGTACCACCCCGGTTCGAGCCGGCCCATCCGTTTGACAGCGAAAGCTGCCGCGTGGCTCTACCACTGTTGAAAATGTTACTGTTTTCATGCGGTATTTATTATTACTACATTTTTCCTATTTAATAAATACATAATTAATTCTTTTATCCAAAAGTTATCGAATAATAATTATAAACATCTACATTCCGATGCAATAAGGAATAAGTTAAATGCATTTTCAAGAGACTTCAAAAAAAGGGAAGTTTCTCAATTCGACTGTATTTTTTATGTGTTAACTCAGAACATTTTTCTAGGTGAACCGATTTTGATAATGTATTTGAAAGCTGGTGCTTCTCATGTGATCCCATATAAATTATATCAAGATCTGACCAGTAGTTTTTGAGTTATCCTTAATAATGCATATTTAATTGACTTCACATATTATTTATATTGAAGTCGGTTGTACAATTTTTTTTATTTTACCACTTGTTAATCTTAGTTGAGTACTAACGCAGCTTTTAAATTTAGTTAAAGCTAGCTTTGAAACATCGCATTTACTTACGGGTTAATGTTCACGGGTGATAGAGCTAGAAGTAGTGATAAACTTGAAAAAGCCTTAAAAGCACTTAAAAGAACCCACCAGTACAGTGTTTGACGTAAACAAATAATTACGAGTATAACATAGTTCTCATTATGTAAAGTAACTTTATTTTACTTGTGTATGTAATAGATACGTTATCAAACACTGATAACGCAATCATCTGTAAATGGATACTAGTA